TGACTCAATCTCCGGGCTGGGCTTGGCCAGATATGAGTGTGTGGGGGTCCTTGATGGTGAGGATCTTCTAGCAGGCCAGATAAAATCACAAGCTTTCCTTTCACAGGTGTTTATGGAGCATGTGCCAGAGGCAGGGGCTACAAAGATGAAAGTGTCAGTAAGCTCCCGGCTTCAGGGAGCTCACGATAGCCTCAAAGGAGGCGGGGAGACACCAGAGCTTGGAACTCATTGGGCGCAATCCTTTAATGACAGCGGGATGGGGTGAGGTGGCCCTAATACTGGGAGGGGGGTCCAGCCAGGCAGGGGGACGGGGCAGGGGTCTTCAAACCACACACAGAGTTCCCCAGGGGAACGTGCCAGCAACGGATCAATTTCTCAAATCCTCAATGTTTGTCAGTTTTCCTCTAAAACTGCCTGGAGAATGCAACACCTTCACAATAACCCTCCTCCCATTTACAAAAGAAAGCCAGCTCCTTATCCACCCCAAATCTTATTATGGAGCATTTTTCTGGGGCGTAAAAACCTCCGTAGCCCCCAGGTGCCAAGGTGAAACACTGTCTTTGCCTGTTTTGCATACACACTGTTATGGGTGGAGTTGGGGTGTTCCGAATTCAGGATCAGAACGCCTTGACCAAGGGACCAAAGCTCACACTTGCGTGCCCTGGGAACTGACATCCTGACCTCCTCAGGGGACGCACCGAGAAAACACAACATCACTTCTGGGGTCGTCCAGCCACAAACGCATACCTCAATCTAATCACGAGGAAAGCAGAGACGAAACCAAACTGAAGGACATTCTACAAAATAAATAGAGCCTGTGGTCTTCAAAAAGCAAGTTCAAGAAAGACAAAGAAAGGCTGCAGCAGAGTTCCAGTATCTTCCGGAGATGTGACAGCCCAGTGCAATGTGTGGTCCGGGATTAGATCCTGGAAAAAAAATCATAAAGGACATTATTGGGACAGTTGTCAAAATTTGAATACGGACTGTGGATTGGACAATAGTATTGTTTTAATATTAAATTTTGTGATTTTGCTAATTCTACTGTGGTTACGAAAGAGAATGTCTTTGTTCTTAGGAAATTCACATCCAGTGTTTAAGGATAGAGGGCAGATATTTCCATGACTCTCGAGCGATTCATTACAAAGCCAGTGTGCACATGTACATCAATACAGAGTAAGTGATGAGGCAAATGGAATAAAACCACAAATTGGTGAATCTGGGCGAAGGGTGGACGGGAGTTCCTGGGTTATTCTTCCCGCTTTTCCGTAAATTTGAAATTATGTCACAAGAAGTTGCAAATAAATACACAAGGAACTCTGGGCATATGATAACTTTTCTACATTCCTGTTTTCCACATTTTCCTTAAGGAATGCATATTTTTATAATGAAACATTAATAAATGCACATCATTTTTTAAAAGAATATGGTAGTGATGCTGACTCTTAAGTATAACTGGAAAGTTTTCCAGATCTATCAAAAAATATCCAGATGTGTGGATTTAAATTCAGAGATAAAAATTTTACACAATTTTTTTCATGCTTATTCAGGTGGCATTATCAAATGGTGTCATGAAATATATTTTCCAATTATGGTCAGTCTTCATCTTATTTCTTTTTAGGAAGTCTTTAATATGTTCTACCTCCCACTGAACATATATTTATTTAACTCTATGATGAAAAATAATTGGTACTTAGTTTTTCAAAATTCTTTTAGGGGGTCCGCAAGCAAAATCGTGTGCATCCCACTGGAATAAGGCGTGTGATGGTTTGACTCTGACAATAGGAGGGGGGAGTCAGCATTGGGGAGACCCCTGGGAGAACAATGGGGTGCTCTGGCAAATAGAGGCAGCCCAGTGGGTCAGAAATCAAAGCCAGCTCTCTATGCTTGGAACGGCAGCAGCCAGCCCCCAGGTCCCCGTGCAGAACACAAGTTCCTGGGTGGAACCAGGAGATAATCTGGTTTCCCTGGGCGGACTTGGGCCCAGAGAGCAGGACAGGGATGGGCGGGGGGCGCCTCTCAGGAATAAGGCCAAGGTGAGGGCTGCACTAGCAGAGAGGATGAGTTGATGCTGAGTCCCTGTGTGCTGGTCCAGCTGGGTGTCCTGAGATTGAAAGGAACCAGTACTGTTGGGCCCATGTCAAGAACCTCCGCCCTAGAGGCTGGGGCTGGCCGTGTTCAGGTGGGCACAGGGGGGCACCAGAGGACTAAAGGGGCTGAGAACCAGGCAGGGCCTGGCGGAAACAGCCATCATGGTAGTCATAGCAGTTAGACTTCTTTGTGTGCATAGACCTCTCCAAAGTAGGAATAACACGCCCATTTTAGAGAAGCACAGGCTGAGGCTCGTGTCGCCAGAGACCACCATGGAGCTGAATTTGGATTCCTCAACACTGAGGCTCTTTCCAGCAAACCAAGCTGCCGTAGGTTCCTTCTGTCCCAATGCTACTCCCCACCCACCATCCCCATCCCCAGCCTCACTCCATTCCTGCTGAATACCTTTTGGGCCCAGCTCGTACCCCTAAATGCACGATTTATTACTGAGTCATAGAGGTGCCCTTGATATCAGCGGTCCATCAGACGGTAGCTCAGCTCTGGAGCAGTGCGCATTGAGCAGCAGGAGAAGATGCTGAGAAGTCTTCCCGGGCAGCCTGGGGAAGCACGGCCTGCCGCTCTCAGCCTGCGCAGAGGCCTCAGAGAACGCAGGGAGCCTGAGAGATCCTAACATCCCCCCTCCAGCATTCCTCGGGGTGGCGGGTCCCAGGCAGGGTGCTCTGGCTCCGCTCCTTTTGCTTCTGGACCCTCAGGAGGCCTCCTGCTCCCTAAGAGTGACTTACAGACCTCTTTCCAGATCCTTACCAAGACAGCACTACAGCAGGCTCAAGCCCTGTCACAGAGGGACGGTGGCTCCACGTCTCAGCCGGGACGACCCCGTATGATCCGCGTGGCCTCTAAAGCAGTGGTCCCCAAAGTGGGGCCCCAGGACCGGCAGCAGCACCCCCTGGAAACTTGTTAGAAATGCAAAAATCTCCCCTGACCTGCTGAGTCAGAAACTCCGGAGGAACCACCCAGCCCTCCAGGCGAATCTGATGTACTCAGCTTTGGAAACCACACATTTCCTTGCGCGTAAAATGGGTATTATCTGTTCTTAACCCAAGTATGGTTTTGGGGATTAAATAAAATAGCGCAGGGTAAATGTCCCTGTTATCTTACCAGTCACCGCTTTAGGAGCACAAGCTGTTTCACAAGAATGGAGGAATCTTCTGGCATGTTCCCTACTTGTTTTCTTCTTCCCCTCATCTAGGCTGCTTGACTGCCGCTTCTCTATCCCACCCCTGAGTCACTCAGGTCACCGCTGCTCCAACCCCGGTGCCCAAGGCCGGAGTGCCCTCTCTCCGCTGCTGTTTGCATTGTTGAGGAAAGTCCCCCCAGTAGGCTCAGCCACTCTCCGCAGTTACCCAACCCAGCAGCACCTGGACCCTGTCCATAGACACCCCCCCCATCACCTCCCCTCCTCCATCATGTACCCGAAGGTCAGGTGACCAACCTTGCAGATTCTGGACACATGCCTGGGGCGGTTGGGGAGGAGGGTGGGTAGAGGGGCCTCCCCTTCATTAATAACCTGGCCCCAAGCACTCTCTATATTAGCTGCATTTACCCCATTCTCCCACCTAGGCTTCATTTTGTCTCCTCTTGCAACTGAAGGTGGTCTATCTTTTTCTTTTTCATTTTTGACTTTGGAGTGGATTCGCATCTCTTCTCCACCAGCAGGCTTGACAGACAATATGTGCACCATTCAGTCTGTCGACAAACATTACTGATAATGCAGTAACGTTTAGAAGGTGGGAAGTCAGTTCAGATGATCTTCTCTTTAGTTTTCTCTTTACATTTCCAACCCTTCGACTCACAGGGCCCCTTCCTCCCCCTACTTTGGGTGTCAGCTCCTCTCTTGAACCCCAGGACAAGGCAGCACCTGGGAGATCTTTAGACATTCAGAATCTCCCCACCCCAGACCCAGAGAAGCTGTCCTTGCATTTTAACACCTCCTCCCGGAAATTCACATGATTCATCTGCTCCAGGGTGCCATTGGCTTGAAACACGAACTCCCAAAGGGTCTGAGGAATGAGTTGGGGGTAGACCCCAGGAATCCGAGTTTTTCAAGCAATCTTCTCAGGTGATTCTTATGATAAAGTAAATTTGGAATCAGGGTCCAGGAAAAGGATCAGAAAACAACCCATTTTCACCCCAAGGTGGACCTTTGGGGCATTAGTCTTCAGGTTTTTTTTGCTGAATGGAATTTGTGGCATCCGGAGTGCGGCAGAGGCCACCTCCCCAACTCCTCTTCTTTTAAAAAATGTTTCTTTTTAAATTCCAGCAATTCAAAAGGAAATAAAGTAAAAAATATAAATTCTTTTCCTGTTCTTAACATCCAGTACCTGAGATCAGAACAAGATTGCTTAAATCAGTAAAGTGGGGATCTGGGTGCCAAACTCCAGGGTTAAAAGGGCTGAGCCCCAGCTGGAAGCGGACACGTGTTTGGTGGCCAGGTCGGTCCTCGGACATCCTCGGGCTGCAGCGCCTCACCGGCCGCCCGTGTCGGTCCGTGGGCCCCAGCATCACAGCGCTGCATCCAGTCGGGAGAGGCGGATCTCCAGCTCAGGCTTTTTTCCCAAACTGCCAAAGCCACCGAGTCCGCCAAGCTCCCGGCCGGCTCTCGGGCAGTCCCCTGGAGACCGCCCGCTCGGGTCCTCTGGACAAGGGCGCAATTTACCAGCGCGAGCCGCCCCTGCCCACCCAGATGAGGACGCCCGCTTTTTTTTTATTAAGCCATCAGATTCAATGTTTACAAGAACAATCCCATGCTTAGTTCTAAAATTACCGGCCACACAAGGAACAGTTTACTTCTCACAACAAGAAAAACCTAGGCTTGTGCCTCACTCTTAAAAATCAGAATAATAAATAAAGTAAAATATTAAACAAAATAAATTGCTTATTGCATGCGCCCCCTTTCCCTCCTGCTGGAGAACGGAATAAAAGCCAATTTTGCGGCGCTCCGGGCCCTCCGCGCGCCCTGGCGGCCCCCGCAGCTGCAGCCCTGTAACTTTAAACCTGGCCTGAGGTCATCGTTTTCGCGCGGGCCAAACAGAGCGAGGGGGCGGTCCTAGTGAGCCCCGGACTGGGACCACCTTACAGCGGACCTCTCTCCGCCCTCCTCGGGAGAGATAAATGCTGACTCCCATCCAAAAGTTGCCAGCTGCAAAGTTTGGTGCTCCGGCTGCTTGCGCGGGTGAAGGAAGCTTGGGAACCCATCACGCGCGGGGACTTTCGCTCCTTGCATCTCCACTCGCGCTCCGCCGGGCCTGTGGCTGCAGAGATTTTGATTTTTAATCTTCCTCTAGTTCAGAAACCAGCGGCTCGGCCCCCGAAGAGAACGAGTCAACTAAGAAGATGTGGAAGGTGCCGGTTCTGCTCTTGGTTTTGGGAAGCGCGTGGCTCTGGGTCCTGGCAGAAGGAGGTAAGACTCAGCAGGAGTCTGCAGCTGCTGGTGGGGACTGGCGAGCTGGGGCTTGCTGGAACGCCTGGGCCTGGCATTTGAGGTTGCCGGGGAGAGCAGAGGGGAGCCGGGAGTGCGTGTGTGCGAGTCTGGAGGACCCGGGAGAAGGAGAGACAGAGGCTTAGCTGGTGCCAGGTCCCAAAGAAACAGCTGAGCGGAGTGCGAGGAGGAGCCCCCGAATCCACAGGCAGCAAGGGTGGGGAGCAGAGGGGCCTCCCTCCAGGGCAGCCCACCTCCTTCCACCCCCTGCTCGGGGCACGAGCGCTAGGGCGAAGGGGTAACAGCAAAGAGCCTTCCACTGGCAGGTCTGGGCTTTCCTGCAGGGCTGCGTTCTGGGGGAACGCCCAGGGCCTCAGAAGAAACTGGCCCCATGGAATCGGGAGGGACATTCAGGAGTGCTGGGGTTGGGGGAGGTTTTCCTCTGTATAGTGATCGTCTCCCTCCCGGGGCTGCCAGGTCTTACACCCTGTGCCCCGGCATGTTGGACACACTCAGGCCCCATCAGTGGGGACCAGCTAGCTGGAAGAGGCCTCGGTTCTCCTCTGTAGAGAGGACGGTGTGTGCGGAGAGGACTGAGGTGGAGAGGGCTCGTGAGTGGCTGAAGGAACAGAGGATGACTGTGAACACTGAGGGTTAAGGTGGTTTGGGGCCGTGTGTTGAGCTTGGTCAACAGCATCAATAACTGAGTGAAGGTGACTCCTTAGACTTTTAACTGTCTTAGATCTGATGCTGCGGGCCCTGCCTGCCATCACCTACATCTTCCCTTATCCTTTCCCTCTTCTTCCTCTTCTTACCTCTTTCTGCCCAGTGTGCTGTGTTGGAGGCATCCATGCACGTGTGTGAATATTTTATTTCTTTTCCTGGGGGTTTATTTTGTATCTGTTTTTCCAATAGAATATAAGCTCCCAAGGACACAGCTATGTCATAGCCTTGATCCCCAGGGCCAAAACAATGTCCAGCACGTAGTAGTTGCTCACTAAATATTGATTGAAGGAATTATAAGCTCACTACTGATCCTTGGAGTTGGAGGTTGCTGAGCCAAGCTCTGAAAGGTGAACTTTTACATTCTCCAAATTGAGGATTGTAGTCCCGGTGCCAGAGGACTCCTTCTTGGAGGGAGTGGTTTGAGGGAGGAGTGGACCTGACCTAGGCTTCTATGATTCCCTGCGAAGACAAAAATACCCAGCCCTAGGGAAATAACACAGGGTGTAGTGCTCTGTGCCGGGTGTCTGCTTCGGAGAGACCCAGCAACTCTCTGCAGGGCCGTGGGCTATTTGTGATGGTCCTATCTTTGGAACTTCTCGTTCCTCTAGAATATACACAGCTCTGCATTTCAGTTACATTTCCCTTTTGGCGAGACAGTGTGCAGATGACACCATTTTGTGCTCACCAGGGCAAGGTGTGGGAGGCCCCCGAACTGAGCCGCATCCCAGCTCCGCTCAAGACAGACGGCAGCTGGGCAGCATCCCCTGTTTTCTCTCTGGGGAGGGTTGGCTGTAATTATCTTTAAGCCAGTTCCTGAATGTCAAAGGTACTCCTACAGGGTGGCAGTAAACCTTGTCTGAAAAAGCAGCCACCATTGGTACTAGAAACTAGACTGCTCAAGGCAGAGGCCCCTCCTCCCCTGGCTGTGTTGGGAGCTGGCTGTGTGTGGATGCTGTGTTGTTGGGCTGCTGGCAAGGAGCTGAGGCCCAAGAGGGGTTTTGTCTGAGGATAATGAGTGAGGCGACTTGAATATGGATGAATAACTTCATTGAACTGGCTATTGTTGGCTCTTGTTGGGGAGCTGGGCTGGGGGTAATTATGGTGATGATTTTTATTATCCTTCTCTTAGGTTCCTACTCCCCACTGTGCTTCCCTCATCTAGTGTTATAATCTGGTTCGGTTTTATAATCTGGTCCCGTGTGTTGTCTCTTTGGATGTGAGTGGATTCAGAGGAGCTCTGTTGTCCACACATCTGGCACTTTCCTCTACTGTGAGGCCCCACCCTCACTCTGAACTTGCATCCAAAATACGTACTTCAGGGCCTCTCCGTTAGAAAATCTATCTTGTGAAATTCTGCAGGCTGCTGCTTGCTGCAAACCCACGTGTGCTTTTCCGGGACCAATCTACCCAGGATTAATCATGCGGTGCACAAATTTCCCCGGAACTCTTGCCAGTTTCGGATGCCCTGAAATCTTCATGAGTTGCTAAGTTTTGGTTGCCCTTAAGGCATCTATCAAGCATTTAGTAAAGATCAGGTCTGTTAGAGCCTTTGTGAGGGAGGCCTATCCATTACACTGGAGTACACACACATTTTTAAAAAGTATCCAAGCATGAGAAGGCTAAGTCGGGACATGGCGAATAGGGAGGAACCTGGCTGAACGGAGGTACGCGGCTCTTCTCTTTCTCTGAAAGGAGTGGCCCATGAATGACTCTATACCACAGAGTTATAAAGACCCCAAACCTTGGCGTGACAGTGGATAGGCTGGCCAAGTAGGAAGGGCACTGCTTCCCTCCCATTCCCATCCCCTGCCGCGTGTGAGGAACGTCCGTTATCTCATTTCATCATGACAACTCCTTAAATTATACACTATTATCTTCAGAATGTGCCAGAACTGGGATTAGAAAATGGGTCTAATTCCAAACCCCAAGCTTTTTTCACTACATTACATTGCTGCAAAAAAAAAAGAAGTTGAACTTGAAATTAAAGGTTAACCTCACTTTAAGTTCCTTAAACATGAAAACAAAATATTTTAAGGTATAAAAAGTCCTTTACATCAAATACCATGATACTCCTTTAAGAATAAAAATGTCACAGTACATTAAAAGAAGATTCATAAATTCGTTCCCCAAATATTAATTAAGCGTCTCCCAAGAGCTTGGGCTGGTGCTCAATGCAGGATTTGAACCATATGCATGTTTGAGGGGGCACACCTGACATTATAAAGCGTACTCAGGAGTCTTCACCAGCAAAGCAGTGGACTTGTGCTTTAAATTCCACTGGCTTATCTGAATATTTGTCATATTTCTGGCTTCTAAGAGCAGGCATGCCAGGTTACAACTTGTGGAAATATGACGGGGGAGGGCGTGGGGAGAGAGAAGACTCGAATACCTAGCAGTGTCCTGTGAAACTCATGGGAGGAATGTAAATATGCTCCTGCCAGGCTCTCCAAGGCAGCCTTGTCATTCCTGCCACTCCGAAACCTCTCAAGGAAATACCCAGTGTGAGCGTTTTGTTGGAAGAGAATCATATGATTGGGGTGAACAGGGGTGAGGTGGTACTTCTAAAGCCAAGTGAACAGTTACTGAGTCTTAGGATTTCCGCAGGGGTGGACAGGAGAGAAAGAAACTTTTTTTTTTTTTTTAATGTGTTGTAGAGGAGGAAGACACTTTCCTCTACATTTCTAGGTTCTTCTGGATGGTCTAAGAATTAAATTGACATGAGATAGACTAACAGGAGAAAATCAAACAAGGTTTAATAACGCGTACGTGGGAGAAACCCAGGAAAATTGAGTAACTTGAGAAAGAAACTCTTGATTGGACTTTTGAATTCTTTCCTTACCGATTTCTTGAAACTTTTGTGGGAAGGAAAGTGATTAGGCATTTTATCTCAGGGCTATGTGATGGAGCCAGGTTAGGGGACAACTGGAATTCTGCCAGCTTCGCCCACGGCAGGAAGACAAGGTGTCTGTTTCTTTCCCTCATGTCCCATCCCGCCTGCTGATCGAAGCTCCGAGCTTCGACAGATAGAGTGAGCAGCCTCTCCTGCCTTTTTGTCTGGTCCAGTGCCTTCTCCTTGAGAATTGCTCAGAGGAGATGGGTTTGTCCTTTGTGGGGAATCATGCTAAGTCCAGAAGGAAACCTGCAGACCTGGGCACCTCATTAACCTTGTTGTTTGAGGAGCTACAAACTAAAATTGATAAGGCAACAGTAAATTTCATGGAGGATTAAAAAAACAAATAAACAAAAAAAAAACCCCGAAAACCAACAAACCTACCGAAAGGATAATCACCTTTCCAGAGGAGGATGTGCTCTGGACCTCTGTCCAGAGGGACAGAGCAGCCAGTGCTCCAGGCAGTGGAGAGAGCCTTGCACTGAGCTGCACTGGGGGAAGTGTTGCTGTTGTTACATTTGTAGCAGGCAGGGGAATGCCGGTTCCGTAGAATACAGATGGGAAGCAGGGAAGGGGCATGCAGGAATATGTGGAAACACATTACGGATGAGAATGGCGTGTTTCCTGCAATTCATCAAGGTATCTCCATCCAGGAGAATAAAACAACAAATAGAAGCAAAGCTGTGATCCAGTAAATAGGATCTTGCCCAAAGGTGGAGGGAGTCAGTTTGCCTAGAATCTGGAAGGGGAGAAAAAGGGAACAAGGATTTGATGACGTAAAACCTGCCTTGCCCAAGGAACACATTTATTTAATAAATATTTATTGAGTAACTGCTTTTGTGAGTCAGGCAAAGCGGACGTTATTCCTGCTTGGAGCTACTCTGCGAGCTGTCATATCTGGGAGCTGTGGGATTCTGATCTCTGTCAAGGTGGTTCTATGATGAATCAGGGGTCCCTGTCCTGTCACAGTCTGGAAATGTATTCCACCCCGGAGCCCCACCCTTTGTCTTGTACCTACACGAAACAGTGTCTCAGGTATTTTGTTACTGAGAAGGGCGTGAGTTAGATAGCAAATATGTGTATAAAGCATTGGAAAACTGTTTCCTGTTCTAAATAAACTATTTGGTTTCCTGTCCTCTTGTGAGTTTGGCTAATGTGAAACAGTTTCATCTGAGTTGGATCACCCCATAACAAGATTAAATTTCTGAGTCTGTAAAGCTAAGGGAACTAGAGTCTGGATGGATGGTGTTAATAGCAGTAACTATGTAATAACAGCTGGCATTTACCGAGCGCTTAGCATGTGTCAAGCACTTTCCAAGCCTTGTTTCATTTAATCTGCACAACAGACCTACAAGGTAGGAGCTAT